AAACTGGCCACTGGAGCTGGGCATGCTGGTACAAGACTTTAATCTCCAGAGGCAAAGGCAAGCAGATCTCTGTGAGTTCAAGGTCAGTCAGGTCTACATAGCAACTTCCGGGACAGCCAGGGAAATGGAGAGCAACCCTGCCTGAAGACAAAACAACACAACACAACAAAAATTGCTATGGGACCCACTGGTAGCTGAGTGGTAGAGCATGTACTTACCTGTGTAAGGGTTGTTCATCCACACAACATAGGCACACCAAACAAAATGCATTGGATTTGTTGTGGTGTGTGTACCTGCATGCCACGGTGAGTGCCTGGAGGTCAGGGAACAGCTTGCCATGGCCATTCTCTCCTTGTGCCAGGCACGTGGTTCCTGGGGTGATAGTCACTCTTTGCTTACAGAGCCATCCCACCAGCCCTGCCTTGATTTTCTTGTTTTTTAATTTGAGGCAGGTTTTTCATTGGGACCTGAGATGCACCACGTATGCATGTAGCTGCAAAGGACTTGAACTCCTGATCCTCCTGTCTCCACCTCGCAAGTTCCCGGATTGCAGATGTGTGCTACCACACCTGGCCTTCACGTTTGAGACTGAATCTCACTAAGTTGCCCAGGCTAGTCTTGAATCTGCCATCCTCTGGCCTCTGTCTCCACAGCAACCAGGATTAGAGGCTGCACCACCACGCCCACTTAGTAGATTTTATTATTTGGACAAATAAAGGCAAGCTGCTCCATGAATGCTGTGGAGGGGAACAGTCAGATGCTGGACCCCAGGTCACCAGCTACTGGACCCACTGATACCCTGTGCCCTGCTTCCATCCCAGGTTGGCCCCTTAGCCACCCCATTATCTATCTGTTTATGTTTATTATTCATTTATTTGTTATTTGTTTGTTTTTTTTTTTTTTTTTTTTTTTTTTTTTTTTGGTTTTTCGAGACAGGGTTTCTCTGTGTAGCTTTGCGCCTTTCCTGGAACTCGCTTTGGAGACCAGGCTGGCCTCGAACTCACAGAGATCCGCCTGGCTCTGCCTCCCGAGTGCTGGGATTAAAGGCGTGCGCCACCACCGCCCGGCTTTGTTTGTTTTTTTGTTTATGCTTTTCTGGGTCTGCCAAGTGCTGGGATTAAAGGTGTGAGCCACCACACCAGGCACAAGATTTCTATGTAGCTTTGGTCTGGAACTCATTAGGTAGACCAAACTGGCCTCAAACTCAGAGATCCTCCTTTCTCTACCTCCTGAGTGTTGGGATTAAAAGCATATGTCATCATGCTGGACTTACAATTTTTTGAAAGATTTATTTTATGTGTATAATTGTTTTGCCTGGATGTATGTGTGTATGTACACCACTTATGTCCCTGGTGTCCAAGGAGGTTAAAACAGGACACTGGATCATCTGAAACTGGAGTTATGTTTGTGAGCCATCATGTGGATGCTAGGAACCAAACCCAAGACCTCTGCAAGAGCAGCACATGCTCCTAACTACTGAACCATCTCTCCAGCCCCCCATTAAAAAAGTAAAAATCTTAAGTATATGTGTGGTGTGTCTGTGTGTATGTGTTTATGCCACATGTATAGGTAGTAAGGAGGTCAGAAGGCGGCATCTGATCCCCTGGAACTGGAGTTACAGGCGGCTGGAAACCGAACTCTGGTCCTCTAGAGGAGCAGCAAGTGCTCTTAACTGCTGCGTGATCCCTCTATCCCCCAGTTGGAGAGTTCTACTTGCCTTAAGCTACTCAGTTTATGGTTTTACTTTCCCCTAGACACCAGGAGGCAGTCCCTAATGGCCCTGCAGGGGTATATTTATCCATCCTTTATGGGATGGGATCTCATGTAGTCCACGCGGGCCTCCAACTCTGCACACCTGAAGATGACTTTAGTCTTTTGACCCCTGACTCCATCTCCTGAGTGCTGAGGAGATAGATAGGGACTACCACATCCAGCGCCTCTGTTTCTGAAATCTTTAGAATCAGACTCACTGGGTAAATTTGCTGAAATGTAGGTTTCTAGGAGGAATCTCAGACCTGAGTCAGAATCCAAAGGTTATCACTCAAGTCTGTTCTTTTGGGTTCTGTTGTTTTGAGACAAGGTCTCTTTTAAGATTGTCTTTTTAATTTATGTATATGTTTGTGTGTTTTTATGTATATGGCACATGTGTGTAGAGGCCCATGGAGGCCAGTGGAGGCCATTAAATCCCCTGGAGCTGGAGTTACAGGTGGTTGCAAACCACCCAACATGGGTGCTGGGAACTGAACCCAGGTCCCCTGGAAGAGCGACAGCACTCCAGCACTCCTAACCGTGAGCCGTCTCTCCAGGCCTTTAACAGACTTTCTAAGACAAGGGCACTGACTGACCTTGACCTCATGATCCTTTTGGTTCAGATTTTATTGCAGCAGCACCAGGATTATAGGTGCATGTTACTGCACCCAGCAACTAATCTCCTTATGTTATTCTCAGATAGTGGTACCCAGTTTCCTGCAATGTGGGAGTGCGTCTGTGACTGGAGGTGATTCTGCAGAGCATTGCTGGCCGAAGTCCCTCACCTGTTCCACTTCCACAGCAAGGTCTTGCTACCTTTGTTCTGTTCGGGAGCCTCACCCAGGAGATACTGCACTAAGCCACCTTGTCTCTGGGCTCCTCTTGGCTGTGACATTTGCTTAGTCTGTCCCTGGTCAGATACTTCGCTCGCTGCCCCTCCACTGGGGCCTCTCCTTTATCTGATAAGACGGAGATTGTGGGTCATCTCAAGGATTGCAGAAGGGGCCAGCGTTGCCACACACCATCAGCATGACTTACGTCATCAGCTTGCCTGCCTGAGGTTCTACTTGTCAAATGTCTACCTGGCAGATCATTTACACCACAGAAACAAGAACTGGAGGGAAGGACTGATACTGCATCATTCTGTCATGGGTCTGGCTCTGAAATCAGTGCTTAGAAGACAGTGTACACACCTCACACCTGCTGTACCACAGCACCTGACACCCGATTTCATCTGCCCACAGAACCTCACAAGATGGGCAAAGCTATTATCCCATTGCAGGGATGGGGAAGTTGAATGTGTGAGGTCTCCCAGCTGGGAGCCTGTTGAGCGCACATTGCTTATGCAGCAAGCTGCTGCGAAGGCCACCATGGCAAGGTAAAATGTCACGGTGGTCAGGGCCAGTTTCTACAGTTGACCCATAGCCACATGGAAAGCATGGACAAGCCACATCTCAGCACGTCTCTTTGAAGGTGAGGATAAGGGGGAGAACGTGGGCATGGCCTCCGTTTAGACCTGGGGGTACGTAAGCAGGTTAATGGAGATGAAGCTGGTACAGCAGCTCACACCTGTGAACCCAGCACTCAGGAGGCTGAGGCAGGGGGATTGATGCAAGTTTAGGCCAGTCTGGGTTACAGAGTAACACCCTGACTCAAAAAATAGAGGGAGACAGAGTTGGTGAAAGTACCCATGATGCTTTGCATAATGACCTTAGCCCTTAGCTCAGATCCTCAGTATCACAAGGTTTGAAAAAGCTGGAAGTCGGGCGGTGGTGGCACACGCCTTTAATCCCAGCACTCGGGAGGCAGAGGCAGGCGGATCTCTGTGAGTTCGAGGCCAGCCTGGTCTACAGAGTGAGATCCAGGAAAGGCGCAAAGCTACACAGAGAAACCCTGTCTTGAAAAACCAAAAAAAAAAAAAAAAAAAAAAAAAAAGAAAAAGCTGGGAAAGGTGCCTTGTAATGCCAGCTCAAGAGAGGTGGAGACAGCGAGGTCTCTGAGGCTTCCTGGCCATCCAGTCTGGCTGAATTGGTGATTTCCAGGTTCGGTGAGAGTTCCTGTCTCTAAAAGCAAAGTGGGGAACATTTGAGAAAGAGACAACGTGGCCTCTGGCCGCCAAACACGCGCACCCCCCCACCCCAATAAAGACTTGTTTTGTTGTTTGCTGGTTCAAACTCACTGTATCACTGAAGAGAACCTTGAACTTCTGATCCTGCTGCTATTGCCTCTCAGTGCTGGGATGATAGGCTTTCTCCAAATACAAGGTATTTTTCCAAATACAAGGTAATACTATCAAAGAAAGCCAAGAAGTATCTGTATGTGGGGCCGAAGTATCTATAGCATAGAGACATGAACTTAGTGAGAAAGAACAGCTTTAAAACGTCCCTAGGTGATGGGCAGAGGGTTACTAACATTAAAGATATTTGGAAAGCCACAGAAAAACTCATCTTATAAGCTTACTAAAAAATATAATTGAGCCAGGTGTGGTGGCACACGCCTTTAATCCCAGCACTTGGGATTTACCTTGCAGAGGCAGGTAAATCTCTGAGAGTTCAAGGCTAACCTAATCTAACCATCTGTAACTACAATCTCCATGTGATACCCTCTTCTGGTCCACACAGTGCACAGACATACAAGCAGATAAAATATCCACACACGGCCGGGCGGTGGTGGCACACGCCTTTAATCCCAGCACTCAGGAGGCAGAGCCAAGCGGATCTGCTGTGGGATGGTCTGTATGTCAAATGTGTTGCTGATTGGTCAATAAATAAATCACTGATTGGCCATTGGCTAGGCAGGAAGTGTAGGCGGGACAAGGAGGAGACTAGAGCTGGGAAGTGGAAGGCTGAGTCTGAGAGACACTGCCAGCCGCCATCAGGATAAGGAAGATGTAAAGTACCGGTAAGCCACAAGCCACGTGGCAAGGTATAGATTAATAGAAATGGATTAATTTAAGCTGTAAGAACAGTTAGCAAGAAGCCTGCCACGGCCATACAGTTTGAAACCAATATAAGTCTCTGTGTTTATTTGATCGGGTTTAAGCGGCTTGGGACTGGCGGGTGAGAGAGATTTGTCCTGACTGTGGGCCAGGCAGGAAAACTCTATCTACACGGATCTCTGTGAGTTTGAGGCCAGCCTGGGCTACCAAGTGAGTTCCAGGAAAGGCGCAAAACTACACAGAGAAACCCTGTCTCGAAAAAAAAAAAAAAATCCACACACATAAAATGAATAAATTAAAAAGAGAGACCATCTTGGCTAGATATATGTGTATTAGTGCAACAGTGGTATCCATATGATGGTGGCAACCAACCATTTCCTGTTCAGACATGAAGCCCACTCCACAGCAGGGGCTCGTGCCTGGCACTATAAATCTGACCAAGAATCCATGGCTGAAGAGGTCCTAGGTCCTAGGAGAGAAGCTACGACTACTGTCTTGTTCAACCGCCCTCTAAATATCTATCTTTACACAAATAGACCAGGGCAGCTCTCAGACCCTATCAGGAACTCATCACTCTCCATTCAGGGGACAGGAATTAACAAGAGATTCATGGACGTTCAAAGGGCAGAGAGTGACCGTGGAGGGACTGCCCTAAATGAGACATCTATACCACACCATCTCCTTCAGGGCTTGGCACGTCACAGAAGAGAGAGCTGCAAGATGACAGAAGCCAGAGACTGGGGACACTACTGTGAAAATGTCTTCTGGGCATGACATAGTCTCACAGCAGCTTTGGTTGCCTGCACAATAAGATCAAGCCAGTCAACACTCAGCAAGGATGGAAGGGGTTAATGGGACCCGCCATCTTGAGCCCTCATAGGTGATTGATAGGCTGCTGGAGAGATGGCTATGGAGAGAGAACTGTTTTTCTTCAGGAGCGTAGCTCATAGTAGACTGTGGATACCCATACATGTGTCCCACACTAATTGGTCTCAGGGACTCATAAAAAATAGATGACTTGTAGCCGGGCGGCGGTGGTGCAGGCCTTTAATCCCAGCACTCGGGAAGCAGAGCCAGGTGGATCTCTGTGAGTTCGAGGCCAGCCTGGACTACAGAGCGAGATCCAGGACAGGCATCAAAACTACACAGAGAAACCCTGTCTCGGAAAAAAACAAAACAAAACAACAACAACAAATCCTTGTGTGTGTGTGTCTTCTCCGCAGCAGCCTTCCATCAGTACCATGCTGAGACTGCGCCACAGCCCCTGCTTTTCTGCTGTTTTGTTTTTTTTTTTACTTGTAGACACAAACAATTATCAGTCTGTAACTGTTCACAGCCAGAGTGGTTAGTTACATAAGGCAAGGGATTAGATTAAATTCAGGAAGCTGAGGAGATGAGTCAGTGGTTAAGAACACTGGCTGCTCTTCCAGATGACCAGTGGTCCATTCCCAGCATCCCTGTGGTGGCTCACACTGCTTGCAAGTCCAGCTCCAGGGCTCCGCCCTTTTCTAGCCTTCATGATGCATGTGGTGCATACACACAACACATATGCAAACACTCACATGCATAAAAATAAACCTTTTAAAAGTAATTTGGGGCTTTTTATTTTGGAGATAGGGTTTCATGTACCCTAGAACTCATGCAGCCAAAGATGACCTTGAATTCCTGATCCCCCTGCCTCCACCACCCACGTGGTGATTACAGGTCTGTAACCACTATGACTGACCAAAAGATTAAATACTGACATGTACTATAAAGTACTCCAGAAAGTTCAGGCTGGCCTTAAACTCAGAGTCATCCTTCTGCCTCAGCATAGTACTGAGATCACAGGTGTGAGACACCACCTTGAAACAGTGGAAAGACTTTTCCCTAGGGTAGAAATACATTCAGCTAAATCAGTCATATGAATCTAAATAAATCACCAGTGGTCATTAGGTGTTGGGGTGACATTCCCCATCTCTGAAAACTAAACACTGGAAACAGCCCAGACTGGTCTTAAACTCATTGTGGCCAGGATGACCTTGAACTTCTGATCTTCTGTTTCTACCTCTGGAGTGCTTCAATTACAAGTCGACTCTGATTTGACTTTTGAGACATGGTTTCACTGTGTAACCCTAGGCTAGCCTTAAACTCTCAAGATTCTAGCCTGAGCTTCCCAAATAGCCAAGATGATAGGCCCTGCTGCCACACAGAGCTCATCTCCGCAGTTAGTCTGTGTCTCAAGTAGAAAGACTCCCTTTTCCCCTTTTTCCGTTTTGCTGGGATGGCAGGCGTGGGCACTGCTCAGGCCCTTGAGATCACTCTCTGCACGGTCATCAGCTCTGACTTGTAAAAAGCCTTTGTCTTTGCCCACCCACATCCGGGCATTCACTGCCCCACAGAGCTTTCCACCCCCAAAGTGGAGCTTGGGTCCTTGAATCCACAAGGCTGCCCAGCACTGGGGAGCTGCTGGTGGCCCAACCTTAGTCTCAAGTTCTTTTTCAGCTCTGCTGCCACCCGGGGGGCTGCAGCCTGGATGGCATCCTGGATGCTGTGTAGGTCCCACTGCGTTCTCAGGAGGGCATCATCCAGTCTGAAGAAGCCATCCCGAGTACGCCGCACTTGCACGCAGACAGCGGTGGTCCTCAGCTCCAGGCCGATTTCATGCACCAGCCTCCTCAGCTGCTGCTGCGTCTCATGCATACACTGCACCTCTGTGGAGCACAGGCATGAACAGACACGACTGTCAGCCATAGCTCCAGGGACCAAGCTGACCTGGATCCACAGCCCTTGGACTCCTCTCCACAGGAACATTCTTCGGGAGATGCTTTTTAGCTCTGGGGGAGGACCTGGAGCACGGCAGTCGTGTGGATCCCAGCTCTGGATCCCTCGGCTGAGCTGTGGAGCTAAGAGCACGCTGGGCTTCCAGCAGCTCTGCTTACACTTGGTCTATTCATGCACCGGGAGTGGGGCACAAAGGCAGCACTTTCATGTAGGGCTTACCACTGGGGGCTTTGGGGAGTGCTCAAGGAAGAAGTCAATGGGACACAGAAGAGGCTGGGCGAGACTCAGAAAGGGACAGTCACATCTGAGGGACCTTTAACAATGTGGACAGCTCTGGAAATGAGCTGCTAGATCCAGTCTCTGCTTCATGTTTTGTTTGGGGGGTGGGAGGTTTGAGACACAGTTTTTCTGTGTAGCTCTGGAACTCGCTCTATAGACCAGGCTGGTCTCAAACTCACAGAGATCCACCTGCCTCTGCCTCCCAGTGCTGGGTTTAAAGGCGTGCGCCACCACCACCCAGCCCAGTCTTTGCTTCTTAAGGGTTGGCTTCACAGGCTTGGGAAGAGAAAGGAGGCAGAGGGGCAGCCTTTGTGCCGTTACTCTGGGTTAGGCTGAACTTGGACCTGGTGGATAGAAGCCACCCATGGCTAGCCAATCAGGGCAATGTACTCTGGCTTTGGCATGCCACACATACCAAACCCAGGCTCCATCTCATCTCCAGCTTCCTGAGTGACTTACCTAAAAGGAACTCGGGAGGTGCAAAGTGCAGGCAGCGGATGCCAGAGATGAGCATTGGGGACTTGTTCATGGGCCGGATCACACCTTGCACAGCCATCTCATAGGCCTCCTGGGACTTCAGGTCCAGGTTGGAGTACCTGGGAGACAGAAGGGCCAGAATGGGAGGCCAGTGTGGGGTACCTGCCCCACCACGGAAGGCTTCTTCCTTGTTCTCTACATTCTTCACCCATCACCCATCCACCCCCCACCCCCACCCCCACCCCCATCTTCTACCCATCTTCAGAGCAGCCTCCCTTTCAGTCACCAGAGGCATCCTCTGCCAATCCCTGGTTTTACCTATCACAGGCTGGGCAATCCTGACCCCTCCCTGTGCACTGTGCTCCACCCCCAGCCACCTGACCTGAGGAGTGCAACCCCAAGGGGCCACAATACCACCCCTGTTCCAGGGCTCTCTCCACAAATGCCGCAGATCCAGGGCCTCGAGAGTCCTCCTGGTCTCTCTAACTGCACACCCTCCTCTACCGCTGCTAGGCCTTGCTATCCTAAGGCCTAATTCAGTGGGCACAAGGCACTGTCCTCACAGCCTGCCTGGCCTTCCTCACAGGGTCCCCAGTGACACCACAGTGCTGTTTCAGAACTGTTCAGAGTCCCCACTGCCCGGGCCAACCTCATCCTGCTTCCCTTTGCTCCTGCCTAGCCCTTCCCACCCCAAGCCCGACTCATGGCTTGAGTACACTGGCCATTTCGGTCCTGGCGCTCCTGCTACAGGTCCACGGCACAGGGAGGGCCTGGCTCCGGCTTTCCTCTGTGCGTGTTCCCTGAGCCAGTTCCTGTCATGTCAGCAGGCTGTCCCTGTCCTGTTCCTGTGCTCACCTGGAACAGGATGCTCGGGGACAGGTCTGTAAGGCAGGGGCTTTTCCTGTCCCAGCTACAGGCAGCTGGCTAGACTGTCCTGGAAGCCATGCGGCTGATGCCCAGGAGAGTCAGGAGTTCCGGGCAGCCTGTTGGAGGGCTCTCGGCCAAGCTCTCAGCAACTAGATGACTCCATCCCCCAGTCCTGTGCCTCAGTGGTGTGGACCCAGGTTCCTCCCCTTTAAATCACCTGCACTTAGCAGGGCAGAGGGAATCTGGGATCTACTTACATCACCAGTGCCTTTTGGTGGGAGCCTTGGATTATAGCCAGGATCCGGTCCAGCCGTTCTCTGGTCACATGGTCTGGAAGAGGCACAGCACAGGGGAGTGTCAAGTCTACAGATGGCCACAGAGGACAGCCTGGGCAAGTGCCTTTTACCCCAAAGCAGCCCATTTGAAAATGGCCAGAGCATCCAATGGGGATGGGCGGCGAGGGTGTTATAGGAGGTTGGGTCTGTTTACAGCCCTTCAGAAAGGACTTAATAGCATTGGGCAAGTGGTGTTGTATCCCAAGCACCTGAGAATCTAAGGCAGGAGGATAATGAGTTGGGAAGCCAGCCTGGGCTACATAGCAAAATGTTGTAACAATAAAAATAATCAACCAAATAAGGCTGAACATGGTGATGTGTCTCTAATCCCAGCACTCAGGAAGCAGAGGCTGGCAGACGAATCTGTGATTTTGAGGCCAGCCTGCTTTACATAACAAGTTCTGTGCCAACCAGGGCTACATTAATGAGACTCTATCTCAATAAACAAACACATAAAAAGTTGCCAGTTGTGGTGGGAGGGCAGGCAGATCTGAATTAGAGGCCACCCTGGTCTACACAGTGAGTTTTAGGCCAGCCAGAACTAAGTTAAGACTCTGTCTCAAAAGATAAAATGTCTCAGTCAGGTGTGGTGGCTCGCACCTTTAACCCCAGCACTTGGGAGGCAGAGGCAGGTGGATCTCTGAGTTTGGGGCCAGCCTGGTCTACAGAGTGAGTTCCAGGATAGCCAAGACTACACAGGGAAACCCTGTCTCGAAAAATCAAAAAAAAAAAAAAAAAAAGAAAAGAAAACAACAACAAAAAACCCAAAAGATAAAATGTCTCCAAAGATAAAAAGAAAAGTTGAGGATGGGGCTAAGATGGCTCAGTGGTTGAAAGTCCTTACTGCTCTTACAGAGGACCTGGATTCTGTCCCAGTCCCCACACAATGGCTCACAACCACCTGTAACTACAGTTCCAGAGGATTCAATGCTTCTGATCTCGACAGTTTCCTGCATACATGTGGTGCATATACCCAGGAACATACACATACACGGAAAATTATTTTTAAGTTGATGGAAACTAGATTCTCTGCTCAACAAGATTCACAGTTGTGTGTAGTTTCCTCAGGAAATGAAGGTCAAACACAATGTGACTTGCCCTCCTAGTCTGGGGCTGTCAATGTTAGTGACCACAGGAGGCACCACCTGGTCAAAAGCAGAAGCAGGAAGCCTGAGGGAAGAGCAGCTCTGCCCCCAGGACCTACTGAGGGCTGAGCACCTAAGTTTGGATTTTCACAAACTACCAGGAGCTGAGACCAAGGGGCACAGTGGTGGCACATGCCAACCTCTATGCAATGCCAGAATTTGGGAACAGTGTAGGACTGAAGCCCCATCGACTGCTGTCTCCAACCTATCTGACTGCACTGAACTGCCATGCTACTTAGAACCAATGATGTGCTACTGTCTCCCTGCCCTCCTACAAGCCCAACCCAGTGCCTCCTCTTCCAGGAAGCCCCTCCCCCATTCTCCTAGCTTCTTCCTCTTCCAGGAAGCCCCTCCCCCCATTCTCCTAGCTTCTTCCTCTCCCAGACACCCCCCCCCCACCGAGTTCTAGGTCCTTCCTCTTGGTCACTTTGCACCTGGGTCTTTCCCAATACCAACGCACTTTGACTTTTACTCTACTTCTTAATCATATAACTGAGAGACAAAGAGTTAGGGATTTTGCTTAATGGTAGAGCAAGCACAAAGTCCTGAGTCTGGACCTCAGTATATACTAAGAAAAAAAAAAAAGATGCATGAATCTCCTTTTAAAAGTTATTATTGGAGCTGAAGAAATGGCTCAGTGGTTGAGAGGGCCCAGGTTCAATTTCCAGCCCCCACATGGCAACTCACATCTGTCTGTAACTCTAGTTCCAGGGTTTCCGACACCATCGCACAGACATACATGCAGGCAAAACACCAATAAACACAAAATAAAAATAAAATTTATATATATATGAAAGTTATTATTATTAGCCTGGTGGTAGTGGCCCATGGCTTTAATTCCAACACTCAGGAGGCAGAGGCAGGCGGCTCTGAGTTCAAGGACAGCCTGGTTTACAGAGCAAGTTCCAGTACAGCCAGAGCTAAACAGAGAAACCCTGTTTCAAAAAAACAAACAAAAAGTTGTTATTATTATTATTTTAGCTTTTTTGAGACAAGGTCCCACTGTGCAGCTCTGGCTGTCCTAGAACTTGCTCTGTAGACCAGGCTGGCTTCAAACTCACAGAGCTCCTGCTGCCCCTACCTTCCGGGTGTTGGGATTAAAGGTGTGAGCCACCATACCTGACTCTCTTTAAAATTTTTAGGTTAGATGGGGCATGATACTGGTGCATATAATACCAGCATTCCAGAGCCGAAGGCAGAGGGAGGTGGAGCTCTGTGAGTTCAAGGCCAGTCAGGTTACAGGTTCAAAAAAAGATTAATCTAGGGCTGGCAGGATGGGTCAGTGGGCAGAAGCGCTTGCTGCACAGAACTGGCAGTCTGGTGGGAACTCAGCCCGACGGAGGGTGAAGAGGCTCAAACTGGTCAGTCTTTGGTTCCTATTTTGTTCCCTTACAACTAGAAGCTGTCGTCTGCCCCTGCTGAGTTTGGAATCCATGGTAGAAGGAGAGAAACAACTCCAGAATGCTGTCCTGGAATCTCCATTTGTGTGCCATGGCACCCCTGCCTCACTCTCTTAAACACACACAAACACACAAGTAAATCAACTAAAAAAGTCAGGTAAGCATGCCAGGCATGATGGGTCCCATGGGTAATTCCAGCACTCAGAGGCTGACATAGGAAGACCGCCATGTGTTTGAGGCCAGCCTGGGGTATACAGCAAGACCCTGTCTCAGAGAAATATTATAGATGAGCCTCTCCCTCTCTCCCAGATTCTGGCTTCGTCCCACCCTGTTTCAGAATATTTGTGCACACTATGAAGAAGATGTGCCTCTGCTTAAGGTGACTTCTGATTGGTTTAATAAGGAGCTGAATGGCCAATAGCTAGACAAGAGAGGATAGGCGGGATTTCCGGGGAGAAAGAGGAAGAGAAGGAAGAATCTAGGTGCAAGGATCTCGCCAGAGACTCTGAAGAAGTCAGACATATGGTACAGAACAGAGGTAAACGAGCCACATGGCAGAATGTACATTAATAGAGACAGGTTAATTTAAGTTATAAGAGCGACCTGGAAAAACCCTAAGCTAAGGTCAAGCTTTCATGATCAATATTAAGTCTCTGTGTCATTACTGGGGAGCTGGTGGTCCCACAGAAGAAAGTCTGACTACACTTGAGAAAGCTTGTCACACCACCCAGAAGCACCAACGTGCTCACTGTTTCTAGGTGTTTGGGATGCTGACACACACTGAATGTACAAGCACAGCTTCACTGGGCCACATCTCTTCAACCTGCTACCAAAGGGGTATGTGAAGCCAAGTTCATAGCTACTGGGCCATCTGATCCACCATGTGTCCTCCAGTGCCTGGTTGATTGCTGATGCCCAGAACTATCAGTTGTCAAATGAACACACGAGGCCCCAGGGCATGTCTTGGAACACAGGGCTAGTGAGAAACCATCCATCCCTATCCATCCATCCTTCATCCACACACCTGCACTTAACAGATCCTTGACCCTGTGCAACTCGTGTGGCCAATCGATGAACTTCACAGTCCATCCCACATGAGGACCGTGAAAAGCCAGATCAACAACAATCATTAGTTGGTTTCCATTCTGAGAGCGCATCTAACGCAAGACTGAGGTGGGGGAGGGAACACCGGAATCAGGTGAGAAAGCAGGTCCAGGGCACTCTGGGAGACAGGGAGCGAGCACAGAGCTGCAGCCTGAGCTTAGTGTGCCAGAACCAGACAGACACCAGTGTGATCTGGAAAGGTCAGGAATCAAGGGGACAGGAAGGAAAAGGGAGGCCGAGGCAGCCTCCTCTCCTGCCCCACCTCTGGCTCTCACCGTATGTTGTCTTCTCTATGAGCCGCCCATCTTCACAGAAGTTGTCTGTAGCTCTGCCTAGGAGGCCACGCACTGTGTAATCCTGTGGGGACAGGGCAGGGAAGTCCCCATTCTAAGCTCTGGCGTTAAGGAAGTGCCAGCCTGATGCTGGGTGGGGCCGCGTGGGGCTCCATACACAGCATTCCTGCTGCCTTCCTGCCCTGGGGGAGGCTGTGGGCCCGGTTCCCAGTGACCTGGACAGGGTGCCAGCACTGGTCTCCACCCACCTGCAGCCACCCAGCCAAACCGAGCAGAGTGTAACGCCACATATGCCCTGCCAGCCTCTGCCCAGCCTCTGCCCAGCCTCTGCATGGTCTAAGTTTCAATGTCCCTGTCAAGGCCAGTGCTCGCTGCTCACAGAACTCTCCTTCCTTGAACTCTGTACAGACAGCTGCCTCTTCCTGGGTGATAACAGTGAGGCGGACAGAGATGGTGCTGACAGTGATATGACTCAGCTTGTACTCTGTGCCAGGGACTGACCCAAGGCTTTACATGCAGTCACTTTAATCCTCAAAGTAACTGTCTCAGGGAAAGTTCTCTTCATTTCCCATCACTTGAGGAAACTGAGGCATAAAGATGCTCCACCAAGGACAGGTGACCTGTGGCTGGCAGAGGGGTAAAAGATGGATTTCTGTCCTTTTTTTTTCACTGCTGGGTATGGAGAACCTTGTTGTGCATATTAGGCAAATGTCTCACCACAGCCCTGAATCAGGATTATGAACTGGAGCCTTTTGGTCTCATATTCTGTGCTGTGGAGCACTGAAGACATAGACCTAAAGTGTCTCCTTCACAGTACCACAGTCTATGGCCCCATCAGGCCCTGGGGGAAGCCCAAGGATGGGCCGGTGACATCCACATCTCAGCCTTGCATGAGAACAGAACAGTGCTGGGCTTGGACTGTGGACTGTGGTGTGGGACAGATCCAAGCTCAAATTTCAGCTCCTAAGGCTTTAAGGAGTTTGTGACCCTGGCTAGGCACCTTCTTCCTAAGCCTCAATCTACTCACCTGGAAAATGGGCGAGCAGGTAAGTGGGGTGGGGCTTCCACAAAGGGATCCACACACAGTTCACGGCTGTGGTCAGAGTACAACAGGGCTGGGTAATGCAATGTCACTAGTTTTTCCTAGTCACAGGATGACAGAAAATGCTGGTAGCCTGGGTCTTCCCTGTCAGTGACCCCTGGGAAAGAACCAAGGGATAAACAGGCTGTCCCCATATTTTTGGACCACCATACCTTGGTGAGGTGAGCATCATACATGTCAGTGAGGAGTCTGCAACCATGTCCCACGGCGAGCACTGAAAGGCAGCCAGACCCCTCTCAGACCTAGAGTCCTCTTCCCTGGGACTACCCTTGCTGCTCCCTGCCACCAAAACACTCTCCCTCCTCTTGCTGCTGCAGCCAGAAGGGGACATGGAGAGCTCTGACACCCAGATTAGAAGCCTCTCTGAACAGCTGTCAACACTGATCTCCAGGGCTCGGGCAAGGATGGAATCTGCCTCATGGTAGGAAATGGGCCTGAGTGCCTGAGGAAGCTCCCAAGGGGCTCTGAAACACCCCCAAAGCAGAAGACCACTGTCCCAGCTCCACCAAACTGCAATTACATTTGGGGTGGCCCACACCTGTAATTGCAGCCCTTGGGAGGCTGAGGTTGGAGAGTCTTGAGTTCCAGGCCTGCCTTGCAAGTATTCAGCCACTGTCTCAAATAAATACACAAATACATACATTTTAAAAATAAAATAAACCCTGAGTCAAGGTGACACATGCCTATAATCCCAGTGCTCAAGAGGATCAAAAGTTCAAGGTTATTCAGAGCAAGCTAGAAGCCAGCCTGGGCTCACTGAGACCCTGTCTCAGAAAGCAAAAGTGAGTATCTGGGTTTTCTGACCCTAACCTTTAACATCTTCAGCCCTCAAGCTCTGCATCAGTACAACAGACAAAGATGCTCAGGCCTGTGGATACCACACAGATTGAGAGAGGCAGTGCACAGGAAGCTAAGGGTACAAAGGAAAGACCTAGAACAGTGGCCTATGGGCCACTTCCTGCCTATTCCCTGATCTGTTTATCCCTCTGTCTAAGGAAGTGAATGGCTTTCCACTCACTGTTAGAGAGGGGGACAGGGAGGGGATATGAGATCACGTCTGACTGCCTGTACCTCAGGAAGAAAGATGAGGGAACCAAGACTGTGGAGGCCGGAAAGTGCAGCTACCACATGACCCTGAGGCCACAGATGGCTTGTGACTCAGGGCTTTGTATCCATCTCCAGCAATATCCAGACCCTAGCCAGAGGAGACAGAGTCACATGCCTAGGCTGCACCCTAACTTGATGGTGGCTCCTCTGGGGACATAAGCATTTACTGGCCAGGCCACGTCACCTCAGCTCCAGCCTCGGTCTCTTCACTCCTAACATCACACAGCGTCTGTCACAGGTTTGGTAAATCAATGTCCCCAAAAGGCCGTGAATCACATGCCGTCCTGAATCACATGCCATGTACCCCTGACAGAGGTGGGACCTGCTGTTCACAAATCATCCTCCCAGCTGATGAGACATACGGACTCATGGGAGACAGCAGCGGTGAGAAAGGAAGGGCAGGTAAGATGTGGGCTGCGCTCCTGACCCTTCTGACCCTTTCCCAAGCCCACAGCCCCACAGCCCCAGGCTGAGCCCATCTCTCACCAAGAACACCAGAAGCCTGGGCATCCAAGCGATGTCCAACACCAATCTTCAGGCTGGTGAACGCTGGGCCACGTACTGGAAAGAAAAAGCCAGTTCATTTTCTCAACTAATGAGCCCTGGGGATGGCTTTGGCATGAGGCCCTCATTCCTAGAACATCAGAGCTGTTGGGGGTCAAATTATGACTCTCAGCCTCCGCCTCCATGGAAGCTGGGACCAGGACTATTTCCCCAGTTCCCTGGTCCAGAGAAAGGGCAACCCAAGAGTCTCCTTACTCTGCTCCATCATCATTCTCCCCTTAAGAGGCTCCAAGACCAGACATTACGCTGGGGATCCAGACTGTGGGGCTCTCCGCACAGGATCTGCTGACAGAAAGCCTGGCCATTCTCCCACTGAGACTGTGGGCTCCCTAAGGTGGGACCTAGGGTTCTCTGCCTACAGTACTGCCCTATGGCCCCAGAGCCAGTCTCTCAACTACGGAAAGGCTGAACACAGCTTAACGTGTCCCTGCACTTGGGAGGCAGATGGAAAAGATCAGGATCAGGACTTCAAGGTCATACTCAACTATACAGTGAGTTCAAGACCAGCCTGGACTACAGGCGGCTCTGTGTCAAAACACAAAAGCAAGGGCTGGTGAGGAGGCCCAGTGGGCTTGCTGCAAAGCCTGATAATCCCACACGGTGGACTGAGAGAACTGACTCTCGAAAGACGCCCTCTGACCTCCACATCCATGCCTTGGCATCCATGCATATGCACACATACATACAAATAATACTTTTTGTTGTTGTTGTTGTTGTTGTTTTCGAGACAGGGTTTCTCTGTGTAGCTTTGCGCCTTTCCTGGAACTCACTTGGTAGCCCAGGCTGGCCTCGAACTCACAGAGATCCGCCTGCCTCTGCCTCCCGAGTGCTGGGATTAAAGGCGTGTGCCACCACCGCCCGGCCAAATAATACTTTTTTTAAAAAAGGACCTACCTCACAGAACTGTGGTAAGGAGAAAGGTAACACAGTGTGTACAGAGCAGGTATTAATTAATAATATCTGAAGTTCTGTCTCCATACAGAGTTCTAGAATAGTCAAGAGTCAACACACCACAGCCCACACAAATCATCAAGTCTACTTTGTTCTGAGACAGGGTCTCACTGTGTTGCCCAGGTTGGCAGGGAACTCCTGAGCTTAAGTGATCCTTCTCCTTCAGCCTCCCTAGCAGACAGGACTCCAGGTGTGCACAACTGCATTCCACAGTGGCTTACATTTCAGTCTTAACTGGAACATAAATAAGAAGGCTCCCTCCCTCCTTTCCCTACCGTCTCCACTGCACTACACTGGCAAAGCTGAGCAGTGTGAGGAACCCACATGGTCTGTAAGGCTTAAAATGTTTAAAATCCTCCCCTCCTAAGGAAGTTTGTCAGTCCCTGGGCTAGAAACCTAACTCAGGCCAGGGATTTCCCCTAACGGTCAGTATCATCGTGCCTGGCTCTGCCTTACCAAGTCTGTGGGTAGTGAGGGTGGGCACGCTGGTGGCTGTGAGAGTCAACTTCTTCTCTTCACTGCCTTCCACAGGGCCTAGCAAGAAGCGAACTCGCTGTTCCGGAGCAGGAGGCTTCGCTGATGCATTGAGACCTAAACACAAAAGAACACATTGTCAAAACTGTCCCAACACCTGGGAGAAGGGGTAGGCCTATGATAATGTAGAAGATAGATTTGCATAACGTAGAGAATAGAATGAGAGTCCTTAAGAAGCTGGGCATTGGGGCTGGAGAGATGGCTCAGCGGTTAAGAGCACTGGCTGCTCTTCAAGAGGACCCAGGTTCAATTCCCAGCACCCACATGGCAGCTCACAACTGCCTGTAACTCCAGCTTCAGGGAATCTGACACCCTCATATGGACATACATGCAGGCAAAACACTGATTTGTATACAATAAAAATAAAGAAATTATTTTTAAAAATAAATGAAGAAGAAGAGGAAGAGGAGGAGGAGCGGCAGCATCTGGACATGGGTGTCGGGGAGGCCAGCCTGCCTCTGCAGAGCAAGTTCCAGGACAGCCAGGGCTACACAGAGAAACCCTGTCTCAAGAAAAAAACAAACAAACAAAAAACACAACAAGAGCCCTTAAGAAAGACTGGGCTGGAAAGGTGGAAATGTATCTCACTGGATGGAATATTTGCACAACATGCAAGATGCCCTGGGTTCCATCCCCAGCACTCATAAACAGAGGTGATGGTACACTGATGTAGTGGGAAGTGAGGGCAGGAGGATCAAAAGTTCAAGGTTTTCCTCACTTTACATAGCAAATTTGAGGCTACATGTGAGTTGTTTAAAAAACGAAAGGAAAAAAGAGGAAGGAAAAAAATGGGGTTTGAAGCTCAGTGTGGTGGTGCATGCCTGTGATCCCAGCATTTGGCAGGTGGAGATAGCAGCGTCAGAATTCTTAAGTCCTTGCTGATTTCAATGCCGGATTAATTAATTACTCGAAATCCTGTCTCAAAAAGCCAAGAAAAAATGTTTCAAGTTCTAACTCTATAATAGTAACCGTGCGAAAATCAAAAGTATGGAATGCGTTTCTCTAAGAGAAAATAGCGCAGAGTGGGGAGTAACGAAAAGTATCCAAGAGAAAACCAGGAAATGGCTATAACCAGGCAAATGTGTCACATTGTGTCTTGTGTTTGTTTACTCTGCAGGAAGAATCCGAATCAACGTGGGACTCCACTAATGCAGAACAGTGGGTCCGCGTCGATGCACTCACCTTTAAGCAGCTGCAGCTCCACGGTCTCCCGCAAGTGCAGCCATTTCAGCCCCGGAGGTTTGTAGACCGCGAAGAGCCCCTGCAGTCGAGCCAGGCCCGAAGACCCCATGGCTGGAACTCAGCAGTACCACACCATCCAGAGGCTGGGATGCAAACGGAAGTGCCGTATGGTCCTGTCCCAAATGTGGTCCCTACTGTAGGTCGCTGCCATGTTTCCTCAGCCGGAAGCGGTTCTCACCTCATTGTCCTCCGGAGGGAAACATGCGGTGGAAAAGGAAATAGGGCCGAATGTTGAACAGAATAGATCTCGGTTATGTTCTTTCGCGGATCACTTTCAGGAGTTTTTTGTTTGTTTCTCATATATCCCAGGCTGCTCTCGAACTTGCTATGTTGCCGAAAATTTCTGATTTTCCAGTCTCTACTTCCCAAATGCTGGGGTGACAGGTGTAATTCAGGGCTTTGTTTTTGAGACAGGGTCTCAGGAAGCCCAGGCTGGCTTCGAACTTACCAAATAGCTAAGAAGGACCTTTAACTGATCCTCTGGCTTCCAGCTTTCAAGTGCTTTGTTGACAAGCATGAGCTATCAATAAGGCCTGGCTCACAGCGGAAGCGTTGGCCTGTGGCTTTCTTTTTCATCCCCCCGTCCATAGTACATTTCCGATCAAAATGCCATAGTGAGTCAGTCCCCATGGAGTCTTTTGACTTTTCCGGCCTCCGTCGTGCCAGCGGAGCCCCGCCCACCCACCGCGGACATCCGCTGCCATGGTGACCCTGCTGCTTCGCTCCCTGCGCCCTAGCCCCAATCTCCCGCGCACTCTGCGGCTAGCTGTAGGTGAGCATCTCTGACCTGGGCCTCCGCGGCTACTGGAGGAACCCGGCTCTTCTTACTGTTGTACCCCTTTCCTGCCTCGCAGATGTGCCCCTCAGGGCCAGGAGCCATGGCACCCGCCTGCTGTACCCGGACCACATCCCCACCACCCCACTGCAAAAGATGCTGCTGGCCGCGGGCTCGGCGGGAATGGCGCTCTACAACCCCTATCGCCACGGTAAAGCCATTTGCTCCCCGCCCACGAAAGCCCGGGCCGGTCATGACCTCTGTCAAAGCCTTGGTTTCCTGTGGGTAGCCAGAGTCAGGCAGTCTCGGGCACCCAAACCTGGCTACATCTATCTCATAGTTCCCAGGAACGTTTATGATAATCAGGTGCCTGGTTCTAGCCTAAGTCACTATAACGAATCTGTTGGGCAGAGCGGGAGAGGAGAAAGAAGCGTGCAATCCACAGGTCCGCTTTTTTGTAATTCTGGGGAGAGTCTGCCATCCAAGCATATTACTTACTGGACTGAATGACTTGCAGGTACACACCACATTATAACATTCTCACAAGGTAGTACACTTGGTTAAGGTCAAGGACCGTGGTCTTCAGCATTTTCTTTGCTGAATCAGTTCAAGACCAGCTTGAGTTACAGAGCCAGTCTTTGTCAAAGATAGAAAAGAAGATGGGAGAGAGAGAAAGAAGACATGTAAAGTTGTTTATATAGGATCACATATGTACTGACTATACCTGGACTCAAATCTAGCACCATTTTTTTAAATTGTTATTTTGTTGAAATGAGGTCTCATGTGGACTAGGCTGGCCTCTAACTCACTACTTAGCTTAGGATGACTTTGAGTTCCTGATTGTCTTGCATCCCCACCCTGTGAATGCTGGGATTACAGGCATGTGCCTCCATGCCCAGTTTATGTGATGCTGGGACTCAAACTCAGGGCTTTGAGTGTGCTAAGCAAGCACTCTGCCAGCTTAGTTACATCAGCCCTTCATCACCATTTGATCTCAAGCTTGGCCTGTACTAATCAGTGGGAACGTGATAATCTGTTTTGATAATGGACTGTGAAAGTGATTCAGCACTCTGTTGATTAGTAGATTAGTAATGTTAAGAAATTTTAGCCGGGCGGTGGTGGCGCACGCCTTTAATCCCAGCACTCGGGAGGCAGAGCCAGGCGGATCTCTGTGAGTTCGAGGCCAGCCTGGGCTACCAAGTGAGTCCCAGGAAAGGCGCAAAGCTACACAGAGAAACCCTGTCTCGAAAAACCAAAAAAAAAAAAAAAAAAAAAAGAAATTTTAGTTAACAAAAACAGCTAGCTGTCCTGGTAGCACTTGCCTTTAATCTGGCACTTGGGAGGCAGAGGCAGGAAGAGCTCTGAGTGTTGGAGGCCAGCCTAGTCTACATAGTGAGTTCCAGGACAGCCTGTACTACAAAGACAGACGTTTCAAAGAACAAAAAGACCCCATTCTCCATCTGTGCCCATTTCTGTCCTTTCAGACATGGTTGCAGTTCTAGGGGAGACCACAGGATACTGCACACTGAAATTCCTCAGGGACCAGATGAAGAAGGATCCAGAGGGTGCCCAGATCCTACAGTAGGTCCCAACTTTGCCTTGACATTTGGCAGGGGTCCTGATCTTTCTAGAGTCACACTGTGTCACCCTGTAAGGAGCCCTTCAGAGAACCATGGGTGGATGCACTGCCTGGACACTGCTCAATACCAAGAGCACACATGTGTGTGTGTAGTCTGGATCCCCTGGGTTGTACAATATGTTGTCTTAGCCCAACGTCAGCCTGAAGACTCCACTTGCATTAAGCTCTCAGTGTGTTAGTTGTACCCCTCCAAATGTGCTCTCACTGTCCCCTCCCCACAGTGTCACTTGTGAGTACCCTTATCACAGCTGTGGCCCTTCTTTAACTAGATCACGACTTTGAAGGCACCAGCTCAGCCCTGGTTTGTGATTGTCTCCACGGTCCCCAGTACTGCTCCATTAGGGCTTGTGGCTACATGGATGTCCCGTGGCCCTTTGCCCACCCACCTTCCTCTATGTGGCCCTTTCACCAGCCGTGGCTGACACACCCTCAGTCTCACCTCCTGCATTCTGTCTTTCAGAGAGCGTCCCCGGATCTCACTGTCCACCCTTGACCTAAGCAAGCTCCAGAGCCTGCCTGAAGGCTCTCTGGGCCGTGAGTATCTGCGCTTCCTGGATGTGAATGTGAGTTTCCAGCCTCTTTGCATCTGGCAGTTACCAACAAGGGCAGAGGAGTGGCATGGGGATGATAGCCTCAGGCAGGAGGATGCCTGAGCTGCCAACTCGGGCAGGACTGCTTTTCAGTCATTTTTCTATGGGATGGGCAAATGGGCTGGGAATGTCATCTCAAATACTGGCACCAGCTGGAGATTATTAACCTCCTGTTGCATGGCAGCTGCCAGGCTGGGTACATGATCTGGCTGGATCCTCCCAGTGACCCTGTCAAGCATGTTCTATTGTCCTCCTCTTGCAAGAGATGAGGACACAGACACCGAGCACAGCTAGTACCACTCAGGGCAGTGTTCAACCCCAGAGTACTCTCTGAACCCCTGCACTGTGTCCCCCGCTGCTCTAGAGGATGGCCAGTGTGGTACTCTCCAGCACCCGGCAAGGCAGATGCTGGGGGGAAAGGGGGTTCCCAGCTATTGAAGGACTCACCACTCAGCATCCGCCTTCCATCATCCCGTGTGATGGGGTGTAGCAAGCCAGGTCGCTGTCCCTACGGAGCTTGTGCTCTTATTAGAGAGGCAGTTAATAAAGTAGTTTTAAAAATTCAGATGAAAATGTAGTGGTCTGGGGAATATAGCTCAGTTGGTAGAGCTTGTCCACAAAGCCCTGGGTTCAGTCCCCAGCACTGATGAGCTTGGCGTAGAGTGGAAGGAAGAGGATCCGAAGTTCAGGGCCAGCCTTACCTGCGTAGTGAGTTTTTGGCCAACCTGGGATACACGAGACCCCGCCCCTCCCCTTTTTTGCGGTAGAGTGTTTCTTGAGTACTTAGAATGCACCAGACATCGTTCTCAACCACGGAACACAATGAACGAAAATAGCCAAACGCCTGCTGCTGGGGAGCCTGCCGCCCAGCAGATGGGTGCTCTGGAGGGAACAAAATGACGGGGCAGAAGATGTCTCTGGAGCGGGTAGAGGAGGCCACTCACGGTAGAGTGGTCCGGAGAGACCTTTCCAGGGAGACTTGGAAGATGAGGCCTGGTCAGCTACGAGGAGTTCTGGGGAAGAGCACTCTACGTAGATGAATCCGCAAGTTCAAGGACAGTTGAAAAGGACGGTGCAGAGCCTGGGTCGACAGCTCTGCTGGGACAGTGCTTGCTGCTTATGGGGACCTGAGTTTGGATCCTCAGCACCCGTGTGCAAAACCAGAGCTGGCAGTTCATACCTGTAACCCTTGCACTTTGGAGGTAGGGATAGCTGATCCCAGAGCTTCCTTTCCAGCCAGCCGACCTAAATCAGTTCAGTCCAGGTTCAGTTTGAGACCTGTCTCGAAAACTAAGGTGAGGAGTGAGGAAGACACTCAACACCAGCCTCTGGCCACACACACGCCATACATGTGCATATGCACATATACACCACAGACACATTAAAAAAAGGAAGAAAATCAAGTCCGATGCTATGATGTGTACCTACAAGCCTAGTACTTGAGAGAGTGAAGCAGGAGGTTTGCCACTGAGTTCAAGATCAACCCTGGTTACGTAGAGAGTAACCAGCCCTGCCATACTTACATGGCACGACCCTCTCTTTAACAGGTAGATGGGCTGGAGCAATGGCTCAGTGGTTAAGAATGCTTATTGCAGCTAGGTGGTGGTAGCGCATGCCTTCAATCCCAGCATTAGGGAGGCAGAGCCAGGCAGATCTCTGAGTTCGAGGCCAGCCTGGTCTACAGAGTGAGATCCAGGGCAGGCACCAAAGCTACACAGAGAAACCCTGTCTCGGGGGAAAAAAATGCTTATTGCTATTTCAGAGGACCAGGGTGTAGCTTAAGTTTTCCTGCCTGGCCCACAGTCAGGATAAATGTCTCTCACCTGCCAGCCCCACAGCCGCTCAAACCTGACCAAGTAAACACAGAGACTTATATTGCTTACAAACTGTATGGCCGTGGCAGGCTTCTTGCTAACTGTTCTTATATCTTAAATTAATCCATTTCTATAAATCTATACCTTGCCATGTGGCTCATGGCTTACTGGCATCTTCACATGCTGTTTGTCATCATAGCGGCTGGCAGTGTCTCTCTGACTCAGCCTTCCACTTCCCAGCTTTATTCTCCTCCTTGTCCCGCCTATACTTCCTGCCTAGCCAATGGCCAATCAGTGTTTTATTTATTGACTAATCAGCAACACATTTGACATACAGAACATCCCACAGCACCAGGGTTCAATCTCTAGCACCCACATGGCAGCTAACAACCTTTTGTAACTACAGTTCCAAGGTGTCTAACACTCTCTTCTGGCCTCTATAGGCACAAGGCATGTATTTGGTACATAGACACATACCCATAAAAAACACCCATGTGTATATTAAAGGAAGAAATTGACAAAACAAAACAATGGAAGGTCTGGGGATATAACTCAGTAGTAGACAGCTCAGTATGCATAAGTACATAGATAAACAAAACACTCAAAGGCTTGAAAGGGAAACAATAGGCTGATAGTTATGCTGGGGC